ATCCAAAGTGATTGCAAAGTGACTATAAAGAGGATGACTGAGAGCAAAGACAGATACAAAATGGAGATAGTGATGCTAAGTTTCTCTTGTCTTTAGTTAATTCGTGGGTCCAAGAAGAAATCAGTGCTTTTCAGCAAAAGCAGTTTGAGTGCCTCTTATAGGAGGACCTGGCCTTACCACACAGAAAGAGTTTCTCTAAAAACAACAGCAGGGCTCACAGTGACCACATCCAAGGACTGTGATGCACACTGAGCCACAGAGTCCATGAGGCAGCCAGAGGACCTCAGTTATAGCCGAGGGTCCAGATGGAGCCAGGGTCTTTGCCACCCATACTGGGCAGCACAACCACATCAACTCTGAGCCCAGCACCTGCTCACAAGCTGGACACAGCCCCCCATCCTGGAGCCAGGCTTCAGCCAAATTCATTTTTCTTTCTCCTAAGCTATGACCTGAGTTCTGTGAGTGAGAGGAGAGGGAACCGCAGACAGGACCTCCAGGGGTGGACATAGCAACCAGGGAGCAGGTGGATGTGTGCTTAGGTAACATATGCAGTTGAAAGTGAAACCTCCTGTTAGGCCAGTGGAAGGTATGTGCTCTACAGGAGGTGTGTCCGAGGTGGGGAGCCTGGAACTCAGGGGATCCATCAGTCAGTCCGCTAGCCTCCTGCGCCTCTGCCCTCTGCTGGGCAACCAGTTCACAGCACATTCTTCTTTCTGGGCGGGGAGCTCTTGAAACCCTGAGTCAAGGGCGCAGCAGCCAGGTTCAGCAAGGCCAGTGTTTGTGCTGGGGGCATTAGAGAATTCTAAGAATCTGCCAGCTGGATGAACAGGGGAAAGTCCCAGGGCTGAGACAAGCAGTAATGGGCTCAGGGAGGCAGGCACTGGACCCTCCCATCTGCAATCCTCCAGCATTTGATTTTCCTTCCTCCCAGCCCTTCCCCAGCTCCCTTCCAAGTAGTAAAGAATCCAGACACCCTGAGAGCCATAAGAGGAACTGACACCCATGTGACCCAGAGTCCTCTGCATCCAAATTAGGAGAGCTGGTGATGTGATGGGAGGTGATGGCTGCAGGTTTGGGAGTTCACATGGTCCCCACCCCATGACACCATCTGGAGCAAGCCCAGCCACAGAGCAGACCCTGCTCTGCCCACACCCCTCCTCTGAGCCTAGGCGTCCCATCCTTAAAATGGAAGGTATCTCTCCTCGCCTGCCAGCTTAAGATGGGGTGGGAGCTGCCAGGAGTCCCTGGACATCAATGGGAGGGAGTCTGTGGAGCCACACAAGGATTCTGACCATGTGGACATCCCTCTGCCATGCCTTGTGTGCCCTGCACTGGGCTTCAGAGTGGGACCATGGTGAGAGCCAGAGGGGGCAGGGCAGGGCTTCATATCCACAAGACCCTTTAAGCAAGTCAGAGGGTGGAACAAAGAAGGGTCCTGCTGTCATCCATAGGTGACAAGGCCCAGGAGCATGGCCTCAGAGAGAGTGATCTGAGAGCCAGCTGGGAGATGTCCATGAGCTCCCCACACTATCCCCAGGCCCCACATGTCATCCACAGGTCCCTCACACTATCCATGGGCCCCATATGCTACCCGTGGCCACAGTCTTGTGACACCACCTCCACTGTCTCCCCCACTCCTTGCTTGAGTAGGTGCCATTCTGCCCCTCTGCCAAGGGGAGGCATGGGTCAGCAGCCCAGCCCCTTCCCGTCATGCTCCCACATCTCTCTGTCCACATCTTACAGAGCCAGCTCTTGGACAGATGGCACAACCCCATGGAGAGGGGGCTAGGGTCCTCCAGCAGGTTTGCTTGGGGGTGTGGCAGGAGCACCCAAAGTAGAAACAGCCGGGGTCTGAGTTCCAAAGTCCTCCTCCTCCCCAAACACCATGTCTCCTGGGTTCTCGTGGGCCAGGGCCACACCTTGCCCTCCACCCTCGCTTCCGCATGGGACTTGTCCCCTTGTAAGGGATGCCAATGGCAGCAAGTCAGGACATTTGTAACTGTCTGCTCTTCACCCTGTGGGCCAAGCAAGGGGTGAAGGGGGCTTAAGAGGACCACGCTCACCCCACACTGGCTCACACACGAGCGTGTGCACATACTAAAGACACTCACCTGATCAGACACACAGACATGCACTCACACACACCCGTGGACGGGGCCAGTGGCTGAATATGTGTGTTATTCTACTGCGAATAACTTGTTCTGTATCTTGCTATCTTTCCTGAGGCATGACTTACACACTATAAAATGCATCCCTGGTAAGTGAACAGTTCAATAAATTTCAGCTAATTGAAGAGTTGTGCCATTTAACCACGCAGTGTTTCCATCCCCAAAACTTAACCTGCCACACCTGCCGTGTCCCCAGCCCAGGCAGTCACACCTGCCCAGCTCTGAGATGTCTTCTCTTGTGGAATCAGCGAATGCCTGGCCTGACGTCTCCCTCCTCACACAGGGTCCGTGTTCATCACTTCCTTTGTCATCACAGCTGGATCTGTGTCTGGAAGCTTTAGTTCTGGAACATTCTCAACCGGCCCACGTGGTGATAGAAGATGGGAACCATCCACAGAGGAGAGCCAGGGCCTCACGTGAAGACCTTTGGCGGGTTGCCTCACTTCTTCTTCGCTGTGTCTCCTGTCCCACGCCCCCACCTGAAGTCACATCCTCAGGCAGATCACTGACTGCACCCTGAATGGCAGTCCTGAACACGGCGTGTGCAGCTGCCCTCTGCACTGTGGGCTGTACATCTGAGGGTCCACCCAAACACTGACTGAAAATGTTTGGGAAAAGAGGGTGTGTGTGTGTGCTGGGGAGTGTGGGGGACCTTCCTGGTCATCACCCTAACAGTACAGGTCATGACTTTCCTTCGCAGGCACGTCACAGTCAGTACAGCAGCACCAGAGATGACTTAGGCCTGCAGAAGGAGGGAGCAGGTCACATGCAAACACCGAGCCATTTGAGCACCAGCAGATCTGGGTGTCCTGGGGGGATCCTGAAACCAACCCCCAGGGACACCAGGCTGTTTGCTTGAGGAGGCCTTGCCACAAGTCTCTGCTTTCTCCAGGGACAAAAAGTTGTTATCTTCTTGATGAACTCAAGGACATGCTGGTGTACAGAGGGGCGGGTTGAGGGGACGGCAGCCACACAGAGTCACCACTGCTTGACTTGGCGCCATCAGGCATTTTCAGAGACTGATACACTCCAGGAATACAATGTGGTCACTTCCCATGTCCAGCTTCCCCGTCCATGGTCCTCACCAAGGTACTAAACCCCAGTGGTAGCCTGTGAGTCTTGGGGCTCTGAGGCCAGAGACATCCTATTTTCACAAGAAATTGTCACATTTATCAGTAAGGACGCAGGGTTTCTTTCATTTTCTTCTGCCTGGAGGTACTTGAAGCTAGTTTGCCCAATGTCACCTGTAACAGGTGGGCACCCCCCACACGCATGGGGGCTGCTACCACCACACCACCCAGCAACTGGCTCTTTCTCCCAGGATCACTTTCTGCTTTCACACCATCCAGGTCCCCAGGTGCTGCCACCTCCATCCTGTGCCCCTCCTGGTCATGGACACTGTGGAAAGAGCAGTTGTGGCTGTCCTTTACTATAACACTGGAGCTGGTGACCATCCCTCTGGGGGTCGACTGTGCAGTGATGGCGTCCATTTCCTGGGACGACTTTGCCATTTTTTAAAAGCACTTGTTACACTTTTGGCTGAAAGGATGGGAACATCTGAGTGACAAACATTTTCCCTGGACAGGAAGCAAGATGGCCAAAGCACCCCAGATGCCTGTGTGACCTGGAGCAGCAAGGAGGGAGCCTCGGCCTGAGCCAAGGGAGTGGGACAGTGGCAGAGCAAGAAACCTGGGAATGGGGTCTGAGTCACGGCCTCCTAACTGTGCCTAAATCTTCCTAAACCTACGGGCTGTCCTCGAGGCAGCTGGAGGTGAATTTCCTGAGACTGACCAGCTGTAGGTCAGAGCCTCCTACATTTACTAAGCAATGGCTTCTCAGACTTTAAAAGAGGAACTTTTCCAAGGAAGTCTGGGGACTTGGGAACAGGAAGGAGTTCACTGACTGAAGATGGAAGTACAGAGGCCAGACTTCTGGAAGCTGAAATCTTGGACCTGAAAGGCCTGGAGGGTTGGTTGACCCGGGCAAAGATGGCTTCCAAGTGCCTTTCCCCTGCTCACTGCCAAGTCTGGAGAGGTCCCAGGGGTCTGCTCCTCCCCAGCTGATGGCAGATGGCACTTTGGAACCCTACCACAGCTCCTGAGTGCCTGTCCATGTCTGTGTCCACTGGGCACCATATGGCTCTTCTTTCTGGCCTTCCCAAAGGACAGTTATCCTCAGTTTCCAGCCACGAGGGTCTCACAGCCAGCATTCTCCATGGCAGACGTGAGCAGTAGGTGTCCTGGTGGGCTGTCCCACTCAAGCTGCCTCTCCTCCTTCTCGCCCTCCCACTTTTCCATCTGGTGACCTCAGCCACTGTTCTGGTGTCTACATCTGTGGGGTCTGTGTGTGCCCTTTGTCCTCAGGAGCTGCCAGGTCATCTTGAGTGGTGCCAGGATCTCAGTCCCTCTTGCCTGGGCCACACAATGGCCCTGGCCTTTCTTCCTGGGCATGAAGCTGCCTGCCCTGCCAGGAGCAGCAAGGCCTGTGGCACAATTGCTTATTTATATGCCAAGAGGCCTCTACACACCCAGCACCATGGACCTGACCCTTGTCCTTGCACGGCCCACCTAGTTCCTGTTTTCCCAGCAAGCACTCAGAGAAGGCCAGCCTAGAGGGCAGGCACAGCTGGAGGAGACGGGAGGTGCCAGCCCACCTGTGGCTGATGGCTAGGGAGGACATTCAGGATGGTGGTGTGGTGAAGCCTCCCGAGAGGGACACTCAGGGCTGTCTGACCACTTGGTCCCACCTGGAAAAGACTTGATTCTCTGTCTCCTGCAGATACACAGAATAGAGAGCCTGGTCCTGAGAGAGCCCTGTGTGCAGCCCTGCCAGAGCCGGTCCCAGGGATACTGCGATGACCTCAGAGCCCAGGGACGTCCTTGTGCTGCTACCCACCCAGGAGCAGCTGCGGCTGGTGGTGGGGGTAAGCAGGGGGACAGGGGCTGTACGTCCAGGAGATGGCCAGAGGATGGGGGCCCATGTGTCCAGACAGTGATGGTAGAGACAGTGGGGCTCTATGTTGGGGGTGCCTGGCACAGGGGGAGATAAGGAATGACCATTTCACTATGAAGTGGAACAGAGTTGCAGGCTGGGGCAGACTCCACCTGGTGCCCCAGTGTCCAGTGTCCTGGGCTACCAGATGCTCCAAGTGTTCAACAACCTGGGTTGCCCTGTGCCCCCATGGTGTCCAGGGTCTCGGGCTGCCAGCTCCCACAAAATATCCAGAGCCCCTCTGGGTCCAAGGAACAGGTCAGGTCTCTAAGAAGTGTCCCTTGGGCTGCCATGATCCTGGCAGGGTAACTTGGGTCTGGCTGCCCCACATCAATTCCAGTGACCACAGGGCCCCCAGAGTCTCTCTTCCCAAGAAGGCTGTGGGGACAGACTGGAAAGGCCAACGGAGCTCCACAGGCACGTGGAGAGACACGACCCCATCAAAAGTGGGAAAGCAAACGGCACATCTCACCTGAACCTGCCACAGTCTCGCCGACATCCTTTTTCCCCTCGCTCCTGCAGTATCCACCACCCTGGGCTGTCAACGTCTTGAGTTTTTACTCTGCTGTAACTGACATGGGGCAAACTCTTCACCAGAAACCCCCAGCCTCTCCACCCCCCCACAGCCTCTGTCTGACCCTTCCCTTCCCCTCCCACCCTCCTGTTCCTGTGTGGCCTCTGTGCATGGTAGATGCAGCAACATGTCACTCTCAGAGCAACCCTGGGGAGGAGAGCCCCTAACCTCTCATCTGAGGACAGCCACCGGATGTGGCTGAAAAGTTCCCCTGCTGTGCCAAAAGTCCCTAGAGTCAATGGGACTCCCTGTGACCTGGTAAGGGAATCACCGAACTCTCACTGAGGGGTACCCAGTGATCCCAAGGAGGCCCCAGGACACTATTCTCAAGATGGACATTAGCTAGCAGGAGCCCAGCGACCCTCAACCACAGCCTCCACGGGCTATCTTTGTAAATGCAGCTCTAAAGTAAAATTGTGACACCTCTTCAAAGGATGACACCCAGGCAAAGGTGCAGGAATGCTATCTTTGTGGACTGAGTAGCTGTTCTCAAACTTACATCACACGATCTGAGGTGGAGAACTGAGGAACGGTCCCTGTCCACCTTATCACAGATGACCTTACAGCTGTCCCCAGGCCCTAAGTCCCCTTCTGTCAAGACAGGTGCTCCATGGAGCTGTGCTACTGTCACCCAGGATAGAACGATGGCCAGGCATGTTCTCAGGACTCCACGGCCAGTGGGACAGCAGGCAGCTCAATGCCTCCCGCAGACTCAGGTCTTCTTCATGTCCATTTCCTGGCAAAGAAGGCGTGTGACTCAGACTTCAGCTTGTCACCAGAGTTGGCCAGTGATGAGAAGGGAGCAGGATATGTGTGGTCACAGCAGGACCCTGAGGAGAGGGCTGAAGGAGTGAGTATGCAGCCAGGGAACACGCACCTCCCTATATTTCCAGCTCACTCTCGTGATGTGGGGACTGTGTGTGTCCACTGTGTCCACTGGCCACTCCAGAAACAGAGCTGGACTCAGCCCAGTTGCACAGACACCTCCTACAGCTGGGGCTCTTCTATCCAGGCAGGAGCGGGGCTTGGATGCTTGCTCCATGACACGAGGCTACTCCAGGTAACTTGTGAAGAGGACAAGTCACTTGCAGAGAAGAGCTTATTGTCATCTGGTTGGTGGCAGAGCGGTCCCTTCTGTTTCTTCTGAACTAATCCCAGCGCAGGTACAAGTCCAGCGTCTCTGCCATTGGCCATTTTCATGGCTGGTTCCTCTCAATGTGTGTGCCATATGGATGGAAACTCATTGATTTTTGAAAGAACCTTGAGGCACCTCAAAATTCTCTGAATGCTTGGCTGACCTGGGCAGTTATCCATTGCCCTCTTCTGGGAGTCTCCAAGCGGCAGACGAGGTCCATGTTGGCAGGTGGGTTCTTGACACAGCCTGTCTCTTCGTGAGACCAGTGGCCATGGCATGTTGAGTGCTCCCCTGGGCATTTTACACGCTGGCTCCTTCCATCTTCTCCACACTCGGCCAGGGAGTTCACGAGCAACTGTTTTTCAAATGGGGAAACTGAGGCCAGAGCTGGTGGCTGCTGGCCACACTGCCCAGTGCTGAGTAGGAGCTGGAGCAGGGAGCGTCAGGTCATGCAGAGCCCTGGAGCTGTGAGGCGGGGGCCTGGAACATCTCAGGGTGTGCGCATCGCCAGGATTCACTTCATCCCCGTCCTAAACACTGCGGGGGAATTCCTAATGGCCATTACTGACCCGGAGACATCAGCTCACGTCATCAGTTTGTCCTTCCCAGGTGAAGCAGATTCTTGAGGCTTACAATGTGGGCAGTACCTAGTACTTGGGCCTGCAAGTCTGCTGGCCAGTGATCTCTAAAGTGCTGTTAACCCCTCCAGGTCAGGAACCCGCTCCCTCAAAAGCCAGGCATCCCCCCACCCAGATGGGGACCCTTATTTTAAGGGTACCCAGGCATTGCTTATGTGGGATGAGGAGAGAGTCCAGCAGGGCAACCCCGGGGTTACATGCGTCAGGCATCATGGTCGGGCTCCTGGGAAATGCCCGTAGTGGCTGCAGGAGAGGAGGGCACACCTTCCAGGCTACTTTGCTGGGTTGGGGCGATATTCAGACTTCTGTTGTGGGAGCAGGCAGGTGGCCCCTAGTCCTCATCCCTGATCTCTGAGCACTGAGCCAGAGGCCCTGCTCACTTCCTGACTCTGTGTCCCCTGGTGGTGACCCCGTGCTGGCCCAGTGGCCTCAGGGGGTAGTTGTTCGTGTGGCTTAAGCTCCCTCCTTTGTTTCAGGTGAAGGCCACAGGCCAAGAGCTCTTCCAGCAGGTAATGCACTGTTCTGAGCATCCGAGAAGCCCACTTCTTTGGCCTCAGTGTGGTCAGAGGTAAGCATCACCTGCCCCCCTGCAGGCTGCCCGGGGACAGAGGCCAGGGTCCTCGGAATTCCGGCTGCGTCTGCCCAGCCACAGGCCTTGGCCATAGCAGCTGCCCCATGTGTGTTTGGTACAACTCAGCCGAGCTAGGCTACTCTGCAGCCCAGTGCGGTGTCTGCTTGCAGCCAAGCATGGACACAGACCCACCACACACACTTGCAACTGTGCGTACAGAGCACAGTTACACCCAACACGTGTGCATACCACACATGCTCACATGACACCCTAGCACACACACCACACCCTTGTACACACTCACACATACACACATGTGTACACCACACACATCTCACACACCCTCGCACATCACACACATGCACACTGCACAGACCAACACACTTGTATACTTGCAAACCACAGATGTACACATGGTGTGTGACACATCGTTCCACACTCACACTCGTATACATTTGGGACCCCCACACTGACACAGCCTTGTCCACACGTGCCACACACTTGCGTGCTCACACACTCTTCAGGGGTGTCATCCCCCTGATTTTCAGGAGGAAGAGGGTATGGGGGAGAAGCCCACAGCGTCCACCCAACAAGGAGGGCTGGGGAAGAGCCAGGCTGCCCTGGATGGCCTGGCGGGTCTGTGAGATGGCGTCTGTCTTCTGTGCTCCAGGTCTCCACATTGAGCGCCCATTCTGCCTGGGATGCCATGGCTGTGGCCTTGAGGAGGCCCTGTGGTCAGGGAAGGGCTCTTACATCGCTGTTCTGGAGGGGCCAGCAGGTGTAAGGGGACAGAACTCAGCATCTTATCTGCAGTTCTCTCTGGCCAAAGCCTAGCACAGCAGGAAAGTGGGGAGGGTCCTGAAAGCAGGGTCTGGGGAGGGCCTGAGTGGACCCTCACACAGAAGGAAGTGTCCAGCTGCTGGGAGGCAGTTGTGTCACAGTCAGCAGGGGACAAGCTGCATGCATAGGACAGAGTTCTTCTCGCCGACAGCCATGAATTCAGAGCCGCTCAGCTCCTGCTGACTCGATCCTGTGATGACAACGTGCCAGGAGCTGTGGGCTGCTCCTTGTGTGAGGCCAGAGCCCATGGGTGACCGTGCCCAGCAGGCTCTGTGACCTTTGTCCTCTGGTTGAAGCTCAATGTCCATTCTGCCCACACCTTAAGGACAAGCTTGCAGACCTTTGGCACATGTGCACTATGGACTGTGAAATGGACTTGGGGGCAGCAGGGTGGAGCGAGGCCCAAGTCGGCCAGGGCAAGGGGCCTATGGGTGGCTGTGGGCAGAGAGGGGCCATAGCAGAGCTTTTGGGCTTGGATCCAGCAGGCTGGGCACAGCTCCACTGTGGGGAGGCCAGGGGAGACCCAGAGGGGACTGTTGGGGGTGTGGCAGTGGACATTTTCTAAGAAAGTACATTCACCAAGCAGAGGACGCTCCTGGGCAGGGGCGTTTTCAACCCTTGCCAGCCCTATCGTCTGTCACCTTGGATGGACATCTGAGATGGCCTGATGTGCCTTGCCAGCCTAGGGAACAAGTGGGCACAGCAAGTTCAAGGAAGGAATTCGGGATATCCCCGCTCCAGGTGAACCCATGACTTTTCTTCTATACAAGGAAGGGCAGATTCAGAGCTCGCCTAGGGACCCACAGAGCCAAGGCTACTGGTCTAGCAGAGTGTGTGCATCCTCTGAGCTCAGCCCAGACCACTGGACCACCTCCTGATACGAAGCCAGAGTCCTTGCTGTGAAGGCCTGGACTTTTTAAATAGGAAGAGCTTGGGTTCCTTGCTTTAGTTATTTTGTTCGTTGTAATGTGTGTGTGTGCGGCACTGGGATTTGAACTCAGGGCCTCACACTTGCTAGGCAGGTGCTCTGCCATTTGAGCCACAGTCCCAGCCCTTTTGACTTTAGGTTATTTTCAGATAGGGTCTTGCTTTTGGCACAGGGACTTCCCAGTACACACAGCTCATTGTTTGAGTTAGGGTCTTGTTAACTTTTTTGCCTAGGTTGGCTCAAACCACAATCCTCTCAGTACCTGCCTCTGAGTAGCTGGGATTACAGGGGCCAGCCACCATGCCCAGACTTGATGCACACTTTTGAGACTGATGCATGTAGTGAAAAGCAAGGGATGGGACTTGGGCTGCCAGTGGAGCTTGGATATCGAGGCAAGACAAGCACAAGAGGCAGACACCTAGCATCACCCTACCTGGCACTGGTCAGGAAGCATGGGGCCCACCCCTGTAACCTGATGAGGTCACCCTCATGTCCAGCCCCTCACTCCACCCCACAGTGGCCTTGGGCTGTCTTGCTACCCTAGGTGTAAAGGTTACAAGTGCAGTGGAGGAGGTTTAGGTCTTTTATTCAGTCAACAGGCATTTGTGGGGCTCCGCTATACCCTCGTTTGTCTACTCAGCGAGGAAAAGACAACTTTTGTTGGGGAGTCTTCTGCAGTGGGTGTGGGTTCCACCTTGCTTGGTGTGGAGAGCTGTAGTACAGGCCAGGTAATGTGGTGGTCCTTTCTTCTGCCCTCCTAAAACTAAGACGGTGTCTGCAGAGACAAAGCCAGCAGGAGGCATCTGTCACACACACACACACACACACACACACACACACGGAGGGGAGAGGGAGGGAGTCTATGCCTTGGTGGGACCAGGAGTCTGTAATCTCCCAACAGAGACCAGGCAGGAACCCACACTGCAGCAGGAGCCTGGAGGCCTTGGAGGCACACGTCCTTCCAAGGCTCACCTCTTCTCTAAGACCCTGGATGTCTGGATGGGCCCAGCCACAGCATGGAGGGGCATCTACCAACTCAAATGCCAGTCTCAGGACAGAATCTAGGCCAGTGCTGACCAAGCAGGGGGGCACTGCAGCCCAGCCATGTGGACACGTCCGTCTGCAGGGTGTGATGCCTCAGCCCTTCTTTCTGTGGAGCTGATTCTGGGACTCCTAGGGCCTTGGTCCCTGTCAGCACCACTGTGGGGCTTTTCGCATGGAACTTGAGGTTGCTCTGGGGTCTTTAGACCAGGCAGCTCCATCCAGAACAGAAGCACCTGCCTGGCAGGGCCTGTGTCTGTCGTCCCTGACATCCACTCCTGTTTGTCCTTCTCCTCTTCCTCCCCTCTTCCTTAGCTCTCTGGATCTATTGCTTCCTGGATCTGTCCATTCTGTGAAAAGTTCCCAGTCTACTCACTTTGAACACAAGTGTGGAAAGAAGTTCAAACAGCCTCCTGGGGGTCCACAAGGGCCTCACCCAGGGAAGCAGCCATCTGACTGTGCTGCCCTGTCTTGGTTCCATCTGTGCTGAGGGGTGGCGTCAGTCCTCGTTATGGAGGCACCCCCTCCTCCAGGGAGAAGCTCTGGGCTCCGGTCCTGTGGAGACCAGCTCTGTCCCCTCCACTTAGGGCTGCTCTGTTCCCCCAGGCTCCAGACAGCTGGCACCCAACTAGGAATTTCATTAACTATGGAATGTAGCTGCATTCCTGGGGTGGCCGCAGAGAGGGGAGGGACCTGCACACAGAGGCCCAGCCTGCCATGTCCAGGTCTCCTGGGACAAGGCCAGTCCTCTCCTGGGACAGGGCCCTGGGCATTGGACACTCCCAGCAGAGCTTATGGATGCCTCATGGTCCCCATGGTGCCCACCCTGTCTGCCCGGACATCCAGGAAAGCCCTAGGCCTCCTCCAGCTGCCAGGATGGGAGGAGTGAATAGGAAAGAATCAATCCTTCCTTCCACGTAAGTCATCCACCAGGCTTCAGGAGCACCAGTCCTTCTGGGGATCACGATCCTTACCATGCTGAAGTCAGGTGGAGCAAACCAGATCTCCACCTGGAAGGCTGGTTGAGTGGCTCAAATGGTAGAGTGCCTGCCTAGCACGAGCAAAGCCCTGAGTTCAAACCCCAGTACTGCCCTCCCAAATAAACAAATAAATAAAATTGTAGGAAGGCTTCCCCTGGAGGCCCCCAGTCTCACACTAGGATGTGACCTTAGAATTTTAAGACTTTATTTTTTTAGAGCAAGTTCAGGTTCACAGCAAAACTGAGTGGAAGGTACTGAAAGGTCCCATGTCCCCCTCCCCCATCCACATCCCCCAATAGATGGAATATTTGTCACACTCATCCCTGAAACAACAGGATCCATCAGTGTCCCCAGAGCCTACAGCAGACACCCAGTGGGCTTGGACAAAGACACAGTGTCACACACTCACCATCATGGTGTAGTAAGACAGTGTTCTGGCTAGGAGTCTTCTGTGCCCTGTCTGTCCATCCTCCTCTTCCCCAAGCCCTGGGAACCCTAATCCTCTTACTGCCACCCTAGATTCTCCTTTGCCACAAGGTAGTGGAGTTGCAGCTTTCAGCCTGGCCTCTTCTCTTAGTGGCACACATGTAAGATCCTTCCATGTCATTTCATGGCTGGAGACCTCCTTTCTTTTCCACAGTGGTCATCTCCACTCCCTACACGTTCCACTTACTGCTGAAGGGCATCTTACATCGAGGAGCTTTGCCTTCTAAAGCAGGAAGGTAAGGTGTGACCCAGGAGATGAGCTGGTGAGGCCCCGGGCTGTCCAGGCCCAGGTAGGGAGGTGAGGAGCCAGGAGCTGGGTCTGGCCTGGCTCCGAGGATGCTGGGGAGTCACTGCACGCCAGGCCTCAGATCCAGATTGTAAACAGAGAACGCGGAACCCAAGACTTCTTGGAAAGACATGTTCCCATCAGCCCTGACCTCACAGGCCTGTGGGCTGCGGAGTCCAACCCTACCAGATTCCAAGAGGCGAGTGAGCAGGAGATGACTGTCCTCTGCAGACACTTACTTCCCTCGGTCCTGGTGCTGGAGGTCTGAGGTGGCTGTGCCAGCAGGCCAGTCATTCAGGGCCTCCCTCTGGCCTGTGAACAGCTGCCTTCCCGTTTCTGTCCATCACTGTCCCTTTGCTTAGGTCTAAGTCCCTGTTTTTGAAAGGTGGCTGTGTTATAGGATTGGATCACACCCTGATGACCTCACTGTGTCTTGACCCACAATGAGGGGTCTGCATACAGTCACTAAAGCACTGAGTCAGGGTGCCGGTCTATAAACTTGGGGTACACAGCTCGGCCCATAACAGAAACGATGCTAATCTGGAACTTGGTGAGCACCCTGGTACCCCTGTCCATCAGATCTGTGAGGTCCTGGGTAGGAGCACAGCAGACAGGGAGAGCCTGTCGACTGAGTGCCCTGGAAGGGACCCTCCAGCATGGGCTCTGCCCCTCAGTGCTGGCCCTGTAAAAGCTTCCTGGACATGTCCAGGCACTCCCTGCCTGCACAGCTGGATATCGCTCAGGAGCCGAAATGAGGCCTCAGGTTGCCCTGCTGGTCCCAGGCTCCACCGCCTCCAGCCAGGGGTCTGTGAGGTGGCAGCAGTCTGGGGCATGGTTGGTGACCACAGAGCAGGGAAAACTTCCGGGGATAAACTGCAATGCTGTCCTTGTGCTTATGGCTTGCACCGGTCAAACCTAGCTGTTGAGTTACGATGCAGGCTGGAGGCCCTGACTCGGCCCTTCCCAGGTGGTCATTCCCTCCTGAGTTCACTCGAGGGACTGCTGCCTCCTTCTGGGCCACCAGGCCTGCCACAGTGATGGACACAGTCCCTCTACAATTCTGTTGCTTTCTAGGGTAATTGTTTAACTTTTACTGGTTTGTACGGGAGAAGCATAGTGGTAATATTCGAGAAACACCTAAAAGCTGACATGGAGCATCTCCCCGACGCTGGGAACCTGGCTCAGTAGAAGAGCACTCGCCCACATGTGCTGAGGCCCTGGGGTCCCCAACACTGTTAAAAATATACAGCATTTTGACCAAATATACAAAATTACTGCTGGGATGGCTGAAGTGGGTCAGCTTGGTGCCAAGTTACAGGCACCCCTGTTTTAGGCAGCTCACTCTGGGGCTAAGGTCCGTGAGTCCAGTCTGCAGTCGGGGCTGTGCGTGTATTCTGTCTGCCACGGTGATCGCCCGAGGATTCCTACGCGTGTGACAGTGAAAAAAGGATCAGCCGTGGCAATGCTGAGCTGGGAATATCACGTCGTACCCAGTCCTGCACCGGGAGCGTCACCCGGTACCTGGCAGTGTCTGAAGCAGCTTTTCCTGATCACCAGCCTGAGGCAGTCGTGCTTGGTCAGGGGAAGTGACGCACGGGCTCCCTGCAGGCTGGCCCCATGCTTAGTAACTGAGTCCTGGGATCTCCTCTGACAAGGTCTTTTCCTTTCTAGACAATGAGTACGTGTTCATGGATTTGGAGCAGAAGCTCAGCAAATACTTCTCGAAGGACTGGAAGAGAGAAACGTGTAAAGTAAGTCTAGTGGGGGACAGGGCTGAGGCCATCATGGAGAGCCGGTGATCCCCTAGACAGGTCTCCCTTGGGTCTGGAACAGGCAAGTTGTGGGATAAGTACTTTCCTTGTCACTTCCTTGGTCACCTGCTTCTCAGGGTTTGTCATCTGGCAGATACACGCTGTCCCAGGGATCTCCTACACACCTGTCCAGAGGGCCGGTGGCGCAGGTCACTGGGCCCAAGTCCTCTAGGTAATGGTACTGGATGCTGTGGACAACACTCCACACGGGTCATTTCTCCTTAAGAAACTAGAGTAAATGACGAATCGTCACAGCAGTGAAGACCTGAGCGCAAGCTGGGAGCCGGGTGTGAGATGCCTGCAGTGGCCCTGGGGAGGTGACCTGAGAAAGAGCCACATTTCCCTGGGGCTCAACTCAGGCCCTGTCCTTCCCTTCACTCTCTACCCAACAGGGAAGTGAGAGACCCGGGGCACCCTTTGTGGCCTTCCTCAGAGTGCAGTTCTACGTGGGAAACGGGAGGGTCATAAGGTAACGACATTTCACAGGACCCTGCCGGGAAGAGTGAAATTCAAGTCACAAAAAAATTGAACACATTGGACTTATTCCAGAAAAAGAGCATAGCATGTTAGCTGTCAGCGTGGGGGCACGTCACGCGTTCTAAATGGAAGTCACCAGGGCCAGTTGTGAGGACGGGATTTCTTCAAACGCAGGTTCGTGTGCCCTCCGAGCGGCCACCTTCACCAACGGCTGCGGGGTGGGGTTCTTGCTCTTCCTGTGCAGGTGTTGCCTGAGAGGGGAGGGTCCCGGAACAGGGAGGATGGGCGTAGACCTGGGGTCACCTTCATGTGGCAGGGCTGCGACCCTCAGGCCCACAGGCCGCCTTAGAGCTATCAGAGAATGGCGAGCTCCCACGGGACCATCAGAAAACCTGACGTTCTCCAAGCATTGCAAGGGGACACAAGAGTAGGGCCTGGGTTTCCTTGGGAAGTCCCTGAGCGAGCAGGCCACAAGGGGTGAGTGACAGTGTGGAAAGTTCTGGAGAGTGAGGCTGTGTGGCCATGTGGAAGGTTCTGGAAAGTGAAGGTGTGTGCTCATGTGGGAGATTCTGAGAGCAGGGTTGTAACCATATGGAAGGTTCTGGAGAGTGAAGGTGTGTGCTCATGTGGGAGATTCTGAGAGCAGGGTTGTAACCATATGGAAGGTTCTGGAGAGTGAGGGTGTGTAGCCATGTGGAAGGTTCTGGAGGGTCAGGGTGTGTGGAGATGTGGAAGGTTCTGGAGAGTGAGGGTGTGTAGCCATGTGGGAGGTTCTGAGAGGAGGATGTGTGGCCACGTGGAAGGTTCTGGAGGGTCAGGGTGTGTGGAGATGTGGAAGGTTCTGGACAGTGAAAGTGGTTTTCGTAGGCCAAGTCCAGCCACTTGCCCAATACACCAAATAAAAGAGCAATGGTGAAGGACAGAGAAAGGAATTTACGTGGCATGGACAATCCCGGGAAGAGGAAAGGTAGCAGCATTTCAACCCATCTTCCACAAATAGCCATTTGCTTTAGGTTCAAATCGGAAGAAGAACTAGGGTTGGAGTTAAATATACCCAATCACACCAGCACTGTGTGCTGGTGGCCATCAGTATTGTCAAGTGGTCTGGCAGCTCACGGTCTTGGGATTGGTCAGGCAGGGTCTTGTTCCTACAAGAGTCATTGACACTTCCCATGTGGAAGATTCTGGAGAGTGAAAGTGCATGGCTGTGTGGAAGGTTCTGGAAAGGGAAGCTGTGTGGCTATGGGAAGGTTAGGCAGAGGGAGGTGTGTGTGGACGGCTCTGCAGAGGCTGCGTGGCTGTGTGGCTCTAGAGCAGTCTGGACCTGGAGAACCTGAAGGTGGCGGCTGATGAAAGCCCCCTTGGGTGGTGTGTCTTGTCCCTTACATGTGTGTTAGCGACAGCCTTGGACAGGTCATCTGCCCTGTGACACTGTTTCTAAGTGCCCTCACTCAGAGAACTCTCTAGAGCAGTGTCCACCCCCCACTGGGTCCTGGGCTGCTGAAGACCCCCCACTAGGGACGGGCCTCGTCGTTGGCTAAAGCTCCCTCTTCACGAGCAAGTTCATCTGTGTATTGCAGAGGAAGACCATGTTTCTGACCCGACGACCACATGAACACCAGGCCCGGGGAGCCGGGCCTGGGAAGGGCGGGGGTGTGGGGGCACGGGCTCTGATGGAAGGAGCCATTTTTCCTGACCCTATGCCCTACTGCCCTGTAGTGACAAGGTGACCCGGCGGCTGTACTACTGCCACCTGAAGGAACGGGTGCTGAGGTCCCAGTGCACCCACAGAGAGGAGGTCTACTTCCTGCTGGCCGCCTGCGCCCTGCAGGCTGATCTGGGCAGCCACCGGGAGCTGGTCCATGTGGGGAGGTACTTCGAACCGCATGCCTACTTCCCGCAATGGGTAAGGCCCACATGGTGACCAGGTCAGTGGGTGATGCCCACCCTTCAAGAGGAGACTCTCCCTGGGGCCCAGTGAGCAGCAGGAAGGTCAGGGTACGGACACAAAGAAAACAAGCCCAAAGGCACATAGCCCCAAATGCTGGTCATGTGGTGTGGAAGGAACAGTGGCCAGAGAGGGATCCATGCCTTTCTGCCCTGACCATGCCTGGTTGGTCCGCTGTGTGACCTGGAGCTGATCTGGCCTGGGCTGTCACTCTTCCCTTATCTTTCTGAATAGCCAAGGACCCTTTAGGGGATATGTTATTCTGGAGCACTTAGCCTCTTTGTGCCTCAGTTTCCTCTCCTGTACCCTGGGAGGAGGGTAGCTAGGAGAGATGATGCTACTTAGGATGTAAAGTCCTGGACCCTGTGTGTGGATTGACATCATGCTGGGTCATTGTCCCAAGGACCTAGAGCCCCTGTCCTGAGTAGGGTCAGTTTTCTCTCCTTGTCTGTATTTCCTCAATCTTTGTCTGCCCTTCCCCTTGGGTCTGCCCGCTTGTCACCAGGCCAGGGCAGGGCCCAGCCAGCCTTTTTCAAGCTCTCAATCTGAGACACTTTCTTTCACCCCTGGTCAGGTTCTGCCTCTCCTTGGAGTCATGTCCCTCAGATCTCAGCCCTGGCATCCTCACTAGAGGGGTTTCCCCTGTATAAATCAGCACCCACAAACCTCCAAGGAAGGCTCATTCCTGTGGTCTGTGCGGGGCGTCTGGGAAACCCAGGGAGAGAGGCAGGACCCACCGATTTAGGGGCATCACCCCCCCATCTCTGGGTCCCAGGCTCAAGCAGTAGGCCTGGCCCCCCAGTTAGACACAGGCTCCAACTGCAAGAGGCCAGAAAGCTTCCGTAGGTAGAAGCAGCACAAAGAAGGCAGGGCGGGGTCTGAGCTAGCTGGTGGCTCCATCCTCAGATCATCACCAAGAGGGGCATCGACTACACCCTCAGGCACACTCCCGCCATGCACCGTGAGCTGCGGGGCCTCAGCCCCAAGGAGGCCGTGCGGCGCTTCATCAGGGAGGCCTGCCGCCTGGAGGATGTTCCCGTCCACTTCTTCAGACTGTACAAGGTTGAACCCACGGTGTCACAGGGACCCAGGGCAGGGTGGGCAGAAGGACCCCAGGGCTGGTAGTGTGACCAGGACCCCAGGAGAGGGTAGGCAGAGGGATCCCATGACTGACAGCATGACTAGGACTCATGGCTGACAGTGTGATCAGGACCCCAGGACAGGTGGACAGAAGGACCCACATGACTACCAAGTGGACGTGGCTGGTGTGTGAGATTCAGAAGGGCCGTGACATGGTAGCTGTCCTGGAGGTGCCACGCTGGGCTTTTCCCGTGTTTGAGTTCAGCCACACTCAGATGGACTGGCCCGGGACCCACACCCTGCTGTGGATAGCTCGTTGGCTCTAACTTTCCACTTACCCCTCAAGGCCCTCAGTCAGCTTATGGTTTATTCTTAGGGTGCGGGGGAGTCCTAAGATTCGTGTAGTGGGGGTCAGAACTGAGACGGTGGCAGGACAGGACAGAGCTCAGTTGTCACTCAGACCTCCAGCTCCAGGTCAGACTGATCTCAGCCCACTTGCATGAAGCCCAGCCCACCCCAGGCCCAGGGCCTTGACCTCCGACCTGTGTCCCTTTAGGATAAGAAGGAAGCTCGCCCTACTGTCCTCCTAGGGCTTGCCCTCCAAGGGGTGCTCATCTATCAGGTGAGAGGGACCCTTCCCCCAGTTCCCTAATGCCCTGGCCCCATGTTCTCCTGGATGTGACACCTCTGCTTTCTTGCAGGAGGTAGACCACACTCCGCAGCTGCTCTATGACTTTCCCTGGCCTCGAGTCGCGAAACTGACCTTTCTGGTGGGTGTCTGCATGTGGGGAGTGGGTTCCTCAATACTTGGGAGCCCTGGAGAGCCCAGGCAGATGCATCTTCGTCCTCAGGGCCAGTGCAGGACCTTTCCTACCAGCTCTGCACCCCTCGGGCACCTCTGGGCCTGCTCGTGGCAGCACCTGCCCGCCAGTCCTGTCAGCATCAGGCCCTTAGCTGCTGCTCCAGGCCCTGTGCCATTTCTAGCGCCATGGGACTCTGAGTGGAGAAAGAGTGGGAAAGAACAAGGGTACCCAAGGCCCTAAAGACACACGGTGCTGCTTCTGACCCACCCAGCCCCAGGCTGTCACCCTGGGCCCCAGTGGCCATGACAGTAAGGGCCGCTGTACTTCAGGCTGGTCCTGGATAAGGAGACCAGAGTTTCATGTCCTACTCTGGGTGTTGCACACTGCCACAGGTGGGAAAGTTCTACATAGGACGCCGGCCTCAGATGTCCAGCTGCCTTCTTGTGACAGTGTCATAGTGACCAGAGACCTACTTTCACACAGAAACTAAATGTGTAAAACGGGAACCTCGGCCATGGCCCAGCTGGGTTTATGACTGACATTTGAAATATGTCTCTTCTCGCAGGAATGGTTTTTCAGACTTGTAAAGTCACATCCTCCCTCCTGTCTATACAGAGGAGGAAACTGGAGATCCAGCCAGATGGGCAGCCTGTGACCCGGAAGCTGGTATTCTACACCAGCAGCACCTGGAGCTCCCGCCACCTGCTGAGGCTGCTCCGCACCAGCCACCAGCTCCACCTCAGCCTGCAGCCCGCACTGAGGCGACTGCAGCAGCTGAAGAGGCAGAAGGTGGGCCCTCGCCCCGCCTGGGGTCATGCACCTCACAGATGGCCATGTGCACCCTCTGGGGTGTGAGAGTGTAACGGGTTCATCCTTGCGACCCACCAGGATCCTGGCCGCCCGTTCTGGGTTCAGCAGACAGGTCACACCTTCTGTTTCTCCTCTAATTGCTGTGACCATCAGAGCCTATCCCCCAGACGCCCAGGGTGAAGGGGGTATGGAGACCCATCCCCCCAGCTCTACTCTCACAGAGAGCAAGAGATGGAGCCTTAGTGCTGGGCCCACTGGTCGGTCTTCCGTCTCGTTCTATTTCACAGTCTTCACTGACAGGGGCCTTGCATCTGTCTCCTGGGCCACTCTTACTGTGTTCACAGGGAGCACCCAGGAGATGGCCATGTGTGCACACTGGAGCTCAGAGTACACATGGGAGTGAGCGTGCAGGTCTGTGTGTGTGTGCACACATGTGTCTATGCGTGAATGTGTTTGCGATTCATGGGTGTGAGCATTCAGCCTATGTAATGAGGGCGTCCTGTGAGGTACGCTAGGTGTGCAAGCTGCCTTGGTGCATCCTAAGACCGGCCAATAGGGTCTGTTCCCTTCCACCCCAGCCCCATCCTGGGTGGTTGGGACACTGGGAGTTCTCAGATGATGGCTAAGAGACAGGAATACCAAATCCCCAGAGAACAATCATGAAGTCATTCTAGGAGCTGTTGGCTGCTGGTGAACTGTTCCACCCATGGTGGCCTGGCTGTTGCAGGGTTATGCAAAGCCCTAGTCTCTGAGGATTATGTCCCCTACATCTGGCTCTGCCTGTACCTCCTGGGACCCTGAATATCGTTGGTTCCAGGAATAAGGGTAGCATTTCATCCACTTCCAGTGCCAGCTCTTACATTGCTCCCTGCCCCCCCGTACAGAGAAGAAGTGCTACCGGGAGTCCTACATCAGCGACCCACTGGAGCTGGACCTAGAGCCGGCCAGCAGGGACTCCCCGGGCAGCCAGGACAGCAGGGACAGTAGCCGGAGTCCTCCCCACCACTTCTCGCTCTACTCTGCCAACAGCCACAACAGCTCCCACACGTCAGGCATCGAAGCTGACTCTCAGCATGCAGAATCCGGGGAGCTGTCTGTGGATGAGCCCGTGGGGGCCGTGAGATTCCATGGGAAGATGTCCAGCTGCTCTGGTGGCAGCCGCAGCATCGAGGATACAAGCAACAGCAGCAAAGGTGGGTAGGGGAGAAGGCAGTGAAAAGCCTGGCCTTCCCCTACTGCCTGGCCCTGAAAGCCAGGCTATGTTGTTGTGATTCACCAGGGGTATGCCAGGATGGACCACCAGGGTCACCTGGTGTCACCCAAGGCCACCCAGGGTCAGGCAAATCTGTCACTAATGCACAATATCCACTGCTATATTCTGAGTGTCTGGTTCAAGGGAAAAAGCAGCTGACCTCCACCTGGGAAGCTTGGGCACGTTCTGTGGCCTGCAGTCCAGAAGAAGCAACAGCACATTTCGGGGAAGAGCCCATTCTTCCCATCCTCAGATCAGTTGCAGAGCAGTGCGACTGGGAGAAGTGGCTGCCAGGCTCCAGACCTGGCCTCTCTTTCCCACCCCAAGACAGATGGATGCTGGGCGGGAGGCAACCCCCATCTCTGCTCTTCCAGGAGTGGTTCCTTCTGCCTGTCCTGACAGGAGCCACCTCTGGGAGGAGACAAAGTCACATGTTAGACCATGTGTCAGCCGAAACCCAGACACCTTGGCTGGTCTAGGATTCACGTGACCCTGTGTGAGCTCACGAGGACATTTTAACTGAATGCTGAGTCTGGGACAGTGTAGCCAGCCCCACCTCTGCAGCCCTGAAAGGAGGGGAGCTCAGTCCCACCTCAGAATTACATGCCCGAAGAGAGTCCCGGGAGACAGGTGGCAGTTGATGCCTGAAGACCTATGCCCTCTGCCTCTGCTCACCCCTCCTTCTCGTCACAGCTTCTCGCCGGGAGCCCATCTTGGGGGCGCAGACCACCTTGGGCAGGATGAGAGGCTGGAGCACTGAGGCCCTGCACCAGGTTGGTCGCCATGTGGGCCCTTCCACTCCAGACTCTGCTCCTTCACCTCATTCTCCTCAGTCCCCCTAATAGGGCCCTCGGGACCTTCCTTGGGACTGGAAGATTCCTTGACAGAGACCCATGGAGGTGTGGCCAGGCCCTTGGGTGACACACAGGTTTAAGGCTGGTTCTCGGCCTCTGCTTCAGCACCCAGCTAAGCATGGCTTTTTCAAGGTGCACCTTCCCAGTTCTGGGGCAGTGTGGCCTGTGTGGGGTCCGTGGGTGCCACACATGCTCACCTTTCCTTCGTCCACCTTCACCACACGTGGGGAGGCTCTCTGGGGTTGCTCTCTGTCCCCCTGTCACCCCAGAGCCTTGGGCCTCCACCTGCCCTAGGAGCAGAGCCCACAGCCAGTGTCTATGAAGAGGACAGGGTGGGCTCCACCCTGGTTCTGAGCTGACATGCAGAGCCCCTGCCTCCCCTCTGGTTAGTCCTCTCAAGAATCCAGGTTGAGAGAAAGAGAAAGCCAGATGTGGTTAGCCAGTGTGACACTGGACTCAGAGAGAGAATGGACCTTGACACTGGTAGGAGGAAGAGAAATGGGCTACAACTCTCCTGGAGGCTGTCATAGCGGGGGGTGAGGCTTACAGCAAGGTCACCCATTTGGCAGAAAAGACGGTGTCTCCCTGAAGACTGGGGCTGTTGACCGGAGACGACTCTGTGATGTACTGACTGAAAACAAGGGGATGGCAGACCCCGTGCGCTCTCCCCTCTGCCTCGCCTGCCCCACAATGCACTGTGGTCTCAGGGGTCCAAGAATCGTGGGTTTGAGTGTCACTTCATGTGGAGGGTGCTCTCAGCAGGACAGGACCTCAGTGGTCACCTCTAAACCCAATGTCCTTGCATGAAATGTTGGTTGTCTCAGAGGCCCAGGGCTTGCTTATGGTGGCCACACTCAGAGCCATTCCTGAGAGACACCATACTTGGTGACCTGGTAACCGGGTCCAGAGAATTAACAGCGAGAGCCCTGGCTGACCAGCATCCCAGGAGTCAGGGCCCCAGGTCCCATAAAGGAAGCTCTGTGGGGTGGTTGAGGTCCTCTAAGCCCCCTGAAATGCACCAGAACCACACTAAGCCCCTGTTCTCACAGAGTTCACGACTGGCGCAAGGGATGGATGTGAAGGATCCAGTGTAATTAGGGAAACTGAGGCAGGGTGTGGTGCAGAGCTGTTGCAGGCTGGGAGGTCAAAAGAGGCCTTGGGATGAGGCAGCCTGCAAGGAAGCGCTCGTGGGCGCTGGGGCAGAGCACCCAGTGGGGAGGCAGGCCAGGCTGAGTCGAGCATCTGCAGGGAGCCATGTGGAGGGCAAGTAGGTCCGCCAGGGTTACAGTGGACTCATCAGGGCATGCAGTCCTGGACTGCAGCCACTGTGGTGGCACCAGGGGTCAGAGTGGGGAGCAGGCTGCTGAACCATGGTCTCTCACTACAGATTCAAGGGACAGAAATCAGAGGCAGGGGGGACCAGCACGGCCACAGCCTGGATGACATGTGTCTGCAGCAGCAGGTGCCACACCCCACACCAGCCTCACACAGCTACATCTCCCACTGTGTCCTGGAGGGGCTGGTGACACACCAAGAGGCCAGGGCCAACCTCCATGGCGAGAGGTCTATGAACTGCCTCTCCCTGGACCTGCTCAGGAAGGAAACACTACCTCAAGAGTTTGTGGTGTAGGTGGTGCCCACACGGTGGCAGCCCTGTCTGCATCTGCCAGCCTGTACCGCTCCAGCACCGCTGCCCTGTCAGGCACTGGCAAAGTGGTGTCTACCCCATCCCTTCTGCCCCCTCTTCCCAGCCAGCTGTCTGTGTCTCCACCTGTAAGAGGTGTGGAATCTGCTCCAAGTTCAGCCTAGAAGTGGCGGGCCGGTCCTGCTTTTCCTACCTGTCTATGGCCCTCAAGCTTCTTCCAGGGTCCCCAGGAGGCAGAAGTTGAGGCTACCAGTGGCATTGACCTCTGGAGCAGCATGGCTCCCATCTAAGCTGGGAAAGAAGATGTCACAGCTGGGCCCAGGTCCTGGAGGAGCCCAGTGAGCCAGAGCCCTGTTCACCACCGTCACTGACCCAGGCCTCTTCTAGACCTCGTTCTTTGCGATTCCTGGGTCCAAACCCTGATCAGAGGACTGGGCTCACCGGACACAGGTTCCTCTTGCAGTGAGGGCCCAGCTCTGTCACTCAAGCCCCCTCCCTGGAGACACCTGCCATCTGCTCATACAGGACACACTAGAAATTGATGAATGACTCTCCCATCAGAAGACCTCCTGCTCCAGGACTGAGGCTCAGGCCATAGGGTCTCCTTCCACAAAGCTACCTCCACCTGGCTGGGGATGCTGCCACTCCGCTGTCTGCAGGAGAGGTGGCTTTGGCAGGCAGGAGAGCAGACCTCTTCCTAGGTCTCATCTACCTCCCAACCAGGTGGCCCCGCATTCCTCCTAGGAGTTCCAAGGCGCCACGGAGCAGGTGGAACTCAATGAGTAATTAGATCTTGGTGCCTTTGGCTCTGGAAGGGCCCCAGGGCACGATGGGTTAATTCACTTGTGGACTTCTCAGGGATCCCCCCGCACCCCCCCCCCGCTGCCGCCCAGGGTCTCAGAAGCCCAGGTGCCTTCTTTATAAAGACCAGTGGACCTGTGCCCATTGCTGGTCTCAAGCCCTCAGCGGTCACTGTGAGCCACAACTGCCTAGCCCAGAGCCCAACAATGTCATCTTTTCTGTGAGAACCCCTGGTCCACGTCCACCCCCACTCCCACTGGAGACGTGGAGCGGGCTCGAGCCCTGTGTGGGGCAGTGTCTCCTTGTGCCGGGGCCTCCTCTTTCTGTGAAAGGCAATCTCACGTGCGCCATGGGCACATGCAATAAAGAACAAAACAACACGCCGGGAGTATGGGCTTGGATCAACCTGCAGGGGCAGCGGCCAGGTCAGCTGATGAACTCTCCTGGGAACTCATGGGAGAAGCTGAAGGCTTCTTTTCTTGGGCAGCGTGATGTGGAGGGAATGACCCACCCACAGTTCTGCGTGCAACTGGGGACCACCAGGGATGGAGACGGTCACCCAGGGCTGCTCTCCCAAAGACCGGTTCTGCATAGGTACGAAATGGGTTGGCTGCCCTGACTGAGGTCAGCCTGTCCTTGTCCTTTAGAGAGCCTGCGGGGACCCAGAGTCCAGCCCACTCCCATGGGCCAGCTGTCAGGGGAGGCCTGTGCCAACTGGGTTCACCAGGCAGGGAGCAGAGCCAGCGTCAGGACTTGTGTCCACACTCAGGCATTCTTACGCACACATGAGCCCCTCCACGTGCACGAGGGCAGACAGACACAGTGAGGCCCCTCTGACACCAAGATATCACATGACATCAGGAGAGCTCCTAGCCCACCCCCACCCCCAAATATCCCCTTGCCTCTGGAGAGTAGGGCCAAGGGAGGTCCCTCTTTCACCAGGATCGCCATGCTTCACTCAAGCTGAGGTGAGGCCGTTTTGGGCTCTGGGGTCCCCTTGAGGTCAGTCCGTTCCTCTGTGACTTGCCTAGCTGCAGGCAAAAAGTGGTCATGGATGAAGGACCTGTGCCCTGCGGGTCCTGTATATGAGGACAGTGACTGGGCCAGCACCTTCAAGTGGCATGTCCTCCTCTGGGCAGCCTGGGATGCAGGAGCAGCTGGGTTACCTCTTGTAGTGTCTGGGGACTGGGGCAGGGAGAGGCTCCAGCTGGGAGTCTCTTGTCCAGACATTCCCTGTCAGTCACTGTGGCCTTATCCCAGAAGCAGTAGAGGCCAGGTCAACCATCCCTAGCATGTGGATTGCAGCATTAGGGCTACGTGGAGACTGGGACCAGTCTGTGTGCTCACAGACAGAGGCAGCAGGAACTGCTGGCTGACCCCAAGAAACCACTAGGGCCCCATGGCAATTCCTATTTCTGTCCTTCCTCTGGGCCTGTGGGTAGACAGGGAGAATTGTGCCAAGTTCCCTAACTGCCGGGTAGCACTGCATTGCAGACTGTGGTGTTGGGAGTTATGGGGTCAGGCGCCCTCTGAACCTCTGCCTAAGAGGGTACAATGAGCTGGGTTGGGATGTGGGGAGAGGCCGAGGCAAAGGCCCCAGAGGTCTCTCTTGTACCGTTGTCCATGGAATTGGACACTCACATTCCCTGTGCCCCTGAGCAGAGGCTCAGGGCAGTGGCTCTGCAAAGGCCATGCTTGGATAACCTGCGCCTCAGAGTGCCCTCACCCTGAATGACCTCCTGTGGTGGCTCGTCTGTGGCTGGGCCAGATCAGAGGTCAGGCCGGGAATCCAGATTCAGGACAGCCCTCCAGAAGTGCTCTGCCAGCTGCAGCTGCCCACCAGGAAGTGTTTCTGCAGGTCTCGCTGGGGCTGGAGGCTGCGTGCCTACCGGGGCTTTATTGCCTTGTGAACGCCTCTTCTTTGGAAACAGAGCTTGTGTTTCTACCTGATTTCACCCTGGGGTCACAATCACCTCTTGGAGGACAGAAAATTCCAGATAGAGCCTGACCTTTCCTGAAAAGCCAGGGACCCAGCAGCCTGGCCTGGGCTCTCACAGTGACAGCTGTTCCCCGTTGTGAGGCAGGGGACAGGCGGAGCAAATGTCCCAGCACTCCAAGGAAGACTAAGATTTGGGGCAACTGTGATGGGTTCTCATGGTTGAACGGTTCTGTGAAACGCGCATGCATGTTTTAGAGATGCGTGGCTGGCACCCTGTCCCTTTCCACTCAGTGCCATCACCTGGTACAATGCAGGCAATGCTGGGAAGCCTGTGGCATGCCAGCCTGGGGCTTGCACTTGGGGAAACTTTTAACTCAGGTCCATGGGAGAAGGAGCCCAGCCCATTACAGCTTGCTGTAGAGTGGCAGGCTTCCCGGGTTCCTAGACTCTAGCGCATCCTACCCTGGAACAGACAGCAGCGGGGACAGAAGTCACATCATGACACAGACGTCTCCCTGGAGCCAGAGCATATGGGGCGGAAGAAACACAAAGCTGGCACACGGAGCCATAGACACAGGAGAAGGTGCCTCTCAATCCCACTACTAGAGCTTCTGAGTCCCCTGTAACCATCACAGGACGCAAAACCCACCCACCGCAGTGGGAGGCACCTGGGTGGTATTTTACAGGTACAGAAGGGCCTGGGAAAATGCGGTGAAAATGCTGAACATCAACTGAGCGCATATTAGTCGTGGATAACTAATTACTGAAGACATTGTCCCTGACATTTGCAATTATTTGTGTTATTCTTCAGCTTTTTAAAAGTTGAGATTTGATGATTTTTTTTAACATTTCTCCATTTATCTTCATGCCTACTTTAAAATTCGTGATTTAAATTCTTTCTTCCTAAAGAGGATTCCATGTGGCATGCCAGCCTATGTCCGTTTCAGGCTTCAAATAAAGCTTAAGGTAGGGATTTGGATCCCAGAGTCTTCGATGGCACACCGAGTGGCTGGCTTTCAGGGATGTGTGTCCAAGTGTCCTGTGCCCCTCACTCTGCTCAAGGCCCCCCAGGTGGGGGCCAGGAGCAGGCTTTGGGCTGGCATCTCCTCTCCTGCCACTTTCCCTGAGGTCCCCACTGCTGTTGATTCTCCAGCTTCCCAGATGCTGTGGCCTGGGGTCCGAGTTCCACCTCATGCTGCCATGGCATCTGCACCTCGTGAGCCTGATAGACCTCCTGCTAACAATGACTGCTCCCCAGTGGCCCTTTTGCTGTTGTCACCAACAGGCACATGGAGTATGACAGGCCGAGGAGTCAGGCTACACAGCAGAAACTGGAAGTCACTGTCGCAATGTGGCCAGGATCAGCTGGCAGCATCTTCAGTTAACACAATCGCCCAAGGGGCCCTGGTTTGCCCAGTGCTGGGCAGATGTGGGGCCTGGGGCTGCTGGAACAAGGTGAGATGTGGGGGTGGATGCCCTCCAGAGCAAACCTCAGCCACCTGCAAAAGGACTTGGAATGGTGTCACGCGGGCAGTGAGACTGGAATGTATTTGAGTCTCGGGAACAGCGAGGACTTTGTGGAGTAGGGCGAGGTGGCTGGGCAGGAGGACGGTGTCCAGGGGTAAGAACACTCAGCCCGGGATGGGAGTTTCAGGCCTGCAGGCTGGCTGGCCCATCATGGAGCCAGGCCCTGAGGTCAGCCCATCCTTGCACTTGGCTGTCATGTGTGATGACCACCACGATGCTCTGGTGTCCTGCCAGCGCCTGGTGTGTCCACTGTGTGGCATCTCAGTTGTCTTCCGCAGAAAATCACCACCCCGGGGCAGCTTGTGAACCGACAGCAAACAAACATCATTCCTCACAGTCTGGCAGCTGAACGCCCAAGGCGAAGGTGCTGGCTGACCAGTTCCTGTCCGGACCCTCTTCCTGACTTGCTGTGACCTCAGGCAGTGGAAGGAGCAAGGAGGTCTTTGCTAATCCCATCATGGGCTCCATTCTCCTGATGCAGTCGCCTCCCAAAGACCCCATCCTTTAATTCCGCTCACCTTGGGGTTGGGATGTCCCTATGTGAATTGTGGGAGACATGCAGTCCACAACATAGGGTATAACCCACTGCTATTGACTTCCATGGCAGGCAAACGTGGGGCACACCTCTCTCTCATTTTAGCTTTGACTCTGCCTGGACAGGAGCCTTGTGCATTGACTGTGGCATGCCCGGTGCCCTAGGCAGGCCTGGCACACAGTAGACATCTTAACAGAGCTGTTTGAAGAGTGAATGAACAAATGAGAGGAAG